TATTTATTTATTTTTTAATATTATTGTTCTATTTTTACCTGTATAGATTCCATTGTGTTCTTTAGGTCATTATCATCTGATGTTTTGCACTTGCAGGTTCATGGTAGCAGAAGTTTTGATCCAGATAACCCTGAAGACATGCAATGGGTTTACTCAGAGGTAATTAATTAATTGAGTTTATGTTTTTTAATCAGTATTTGAAAAAGAATATACAAAAATTTGTTTTTATTACCTCTTTTCTTGTCTCATTTATTAGATTGATTGATTATTCTAACAGGCTCTCAAGAGGGCAGAACTTTTCGGAATTCAAGGAGTTACTTATTCTTTGACTCAGGTAAAAAAAGCATGAGTATCTTAATCATTACTTTTTGTGTGCTTATTTATCTTTCTACCTCAGTTCTTGCATTTGGCTCGTGACAACTTCTACTATACTGTTATCTAACTAACCTTTAGTAATATTTGTTGCATTGCTAAAGTAAGTTGTCTTTAACCCGACCTGGTCAATGACAGTTTCAGCCATTAGGTCACTTGGTCAATTGTTGAACCGAGTAATTTTATTTTAGAATTTTAAAATTATAATATACTATTTATATATTATTTAAGTATACATAAAAGTAACAAAACAAATAATTTACATGTAAATTTTGTACCTTCAAATCTTAATATTGTTGTATCTCGTAAATAATATATACCAACACAAATAAAAAATATAAAAGAATATACCAGGTCAAACTGAGTTGATCGACTGGGTTTGACCGGTTCTTTGTTATCTGGTCCAAAGGACGTAACCGGACTGGGCCCGTTGCCTGGTCCGGGTCAAAAAACGATGGTCATTACATTTGTTGCTTACAAGTCAAGTAACAATGGTCTTTAGATTTGTTGCTTATAACTAGTTGCATATGCAATAACAATTAACAAGTAGCTTATTTGTAGGGTGTGGTGAAAAACATCATTCCTGCCATTGCTTCTACCAATGCTATCATCTCCGCTGCTTGTGCTCTGGAGACCCTAAAAATCGTTTCTGATTGCAGCAAGACATTGTCGAATTACCTAACGTATGCCTAACTTCTGAAATTTATTCTTGTTAAAATAAATTTCATCTTTTGTTAGTATACTTACACACCTAAATATATTCTTGCCCCAATAATTTCAAATATACCTTTAATTGTTAAATTCAAATCTTTTCCCAGGTATAATGGAGTCGAAGGTCTTCATACCAAAGTTACAGAGTTTGTAAAGGACAAGGATTGTCTCGTTTGTGGTCCTGCCGTTCTAATTGAGTTGGAAAAGTCTGTTACTCTCGGAAAGGTCTTACTCTGCATATTTGTTGTGTGAAACCTTTATGGACTATATTACTTGGCTGCTTATCAATTTTTTT